GTTGGGGATTACCTATAATAAGAATAATAGCACCTGTCATATTTTGAGTGTTTATTATATGACAGGTATTGTGTCAGAGACATTAAGATTTATGCATCAGAATGGGCCTAGGGATGGAGAATTAGGTGAATGTGTTGGAGTTGCCAAACTCCGTTTTGAGAAATTCATAGGACATCTTATCTATATCCAACAGAACACCTGGTAGATCGCAGCATGTGCTGGGAAAATAGTCAAGATGAAATTTCCAGGGTCATGAGTTTAAATGAGGGAGGAGAAGCCATAGGAGATGTGTTCACTCATGAGGCTGCTGTCTAGTGGGTCATGAGCAGCCGTAAGTCTGCAGTAAGGACAGAAGACAAAGAACAAGAGATAGAGAAAGGCAATTGAGAGGAAGAAGAAATATCCTGAATATAGCTTTGAAGAGAGCTTGAATATGGTTCCGCTGTGTCTGAAAGATAGCATTATAGTAGCAGAAGAACATTGGAATGTATACAGATAAGAAGTCAGCAAGTTTTCAAGAGAAAGAGAGAGAGCAGTTTTGGTGGTCTAGTGGGGACAGATACTTTTAGGGGGATTAAAGAGTAAGGGTAGGATGAGGAAATGAGGGCTGTAATTATAGACTATTTTTAGAACAATGACATTTGTGCAAGGAAAGAATGAAGGAATGAGTGCTTATGGAAAAAACATCATTAGAGGCCCCCTTTTTTGTCAAACAGTTTGAGACTTGAGCATGTTTATAGATGGATACAGAGGAGCCAGGGCCTGGCTGTAAATGTCTTGAAGAAATGAGTGAATGAATCAATAAATGAAGAGCATGGTAGGAGGTGTTGACCTTAGAAAGGAGGAGGAATCAGTTTTACTTGCACAGAAGAGAGTAAGAGACTAAAAATCTGAAGATGTTTATTAGAAAAAGAGGGCCAAGGGGCATGCATTGGATATACTTCATCTTCTCAGGGTGCTGGTGGTGGTTATGTGCCGTGGAGTCGGAATCAACTCATAGCGACCCTGTACAGGGTTTGTGAAGCTGTAAATCTTTACAGGAGCAGAAAGCCTCATCTTTCTCCCGCAGAACAGCTGGTAGTTTCGAACTGCTAACCTTGCAGTTCACAGGCCTGTTCGTAACCACTACGCTACCAGAGCGCCTTTTTCTCAGGGTAGCAGGTGGCATTATTTTAAATGCATAGCTTTCTGGTCTCAGCATCTCAGCACTGTCATCTCCCACCCAGCCCCATGAGCTTGGGCAGGTTAACTTGGTCAAGGCATAAGTTAGCTTCCTTGTACCTCAGGTTTTCTTTCAGAAAAAAAGAGTGAATAAAGTGCTTCTCAATCCATACTGTGAAAATTAAATTAGTGGGAAATGCTTCAAATGCAGTATCTAGCATTATATAAATACCAGCTGGTATTATGGACTGGGAGGAGATGGAATAATCTAAAAATGAGGTAAAGCATTGTCTAACACAGTGATGCTGCGCCCTGAGTGAATATATGAATCACTTGGGGATCTTATTAAAATGAAGATTCAGATTTAGTAGGCCTGGGGTGGGGTCCCTGATTCTGCCTTCCTAACAAGCTCCCAAGTGATACTGGCTCATGGACCACACTTGGAGTGGAGTGTGGTAGCAGCACTGAAGACTTGACCAGGAGTGGAGTGTGAGGATCTGTACCGGCACCAGGAAGCATGGCTGTGTGACTCATGCCATTGTTGGCCGGCCATTCAGGAATGGAGAATGTTTATTTGGATTTAGCAATCATTTACTAGAGCAACAACAGCAGTGTAACAGTAATGCAATCAGAGTCTAAGGTTGAATAACCTCCATTTTCATCATTGCAAGGGATGAGGGGGGAGAGATTAAAAAGTGTATACACACTCACGGGACTTCAAAAAAATTCATAGGGGAAAAGTCCAAAGTGTAAGTTATCAAATAAGACGGCTTGTCTTCTAAACTTTGTAAAACCAAGTTCTCATGGCTGGTAAAGGTAAAAGTCATTTACCGTCATCCCTGCAATGCTCAACAAGAATGTCAGTTTGTAAACCTGATTTTTGGTCTCCTCCCTAAAGATCAGTGCCACATAGTTAACGCCATGAAGCCTGGGTTTCAGATTATACTGCATGTTGTTTTCCCCTAGGAATAACCTGAGAGGACATTCTCAAAGACAAATTTTAATTATTATTCTTGCTACTATTATACTGATATTTGGGCCCACATAGATTTTTCAGCATTCTCTGTCTTAATTTGTTCAACATTTATAAACTTTACTGGCTCAAACAATATTTACTGCTTAAAGGTCCATTCACCATTTCTTTCAGTGTTGGAGGTTATGATCCTAGACGTTGTGTTTTATCTCTCACTGTGCCAGCAAATAAAATGAAGAGGGAGACAGCCAGCGTTCTAAAACAAAATAGAAATGGAAGAACATTGGCTGTTTTATTATATGTGGTGGTTTCCTGCTTCTGGAGAAAAAAAAAGACAGATCTTGTAAAGATACAGTGAGACGAGGAAGGAAAGGGTATAAACTAAAATTTAGGGTATGAATCAGAACTGACTCTTCTTGAAAAGAGGAAGATTTTCTTAGTGTGATCTCTGGGGTGAGACTACTGGGAAGAGTGCTAAGTCATCGACTATACTTGGTTTGTACAATTTCAGTAAAGCTAGAGTTTTATTGTACTTTTGATATATAATTTTACTTTTCTCCCTTCTTATTTAATAGTATGTTTTATAAAAATTGTGACTTTAAGTCATTTCCTTTACATGTAATTATTAACACTATCCCATTGGGCTATCACCAGTCACTGCTTAGAAACCCTATATGAGGTTGCTCTGAGTCAGAACTGACTCGACAGCACTTAACCACCATCATCACCACTATGATTAGCATGGCTCAGAAAATAAGTTTATTGTGTGTGTCAACATAAACCTATTTCCTCTGCCTTTAGCCATTTCTTTATACCTTTGAAATGACATCTCCTCATTCATTCTGCCCTATTTTGTAAAGGTCTATACTCCCCATTATAGTGGAGGAGCTCTGGTAGCATAGTGGTTACGAATCGGGCTGCGAATCACAAGGTCAGCAGTTCAAAACTACCAGCTGTTCCACGGGAGAACGATGAGGCTTTCTTCTCCTGTAAAGACTTGTTGTTGTTGTTGTTGTTAAGTGCCGTCGAGTCAGTTCCGACCCATAGCGACCCTGTACAGGGTTTCTGAGGGTGTAAATCCTTACGGGAGTAGAAAGCCTTATCTTTCTCCCGCGGAGCGGCTGGTAGTTTCGAACCGCTGACCTTAAGGTTCGCAGCCCAATTCGTAACCACTACGCTACCAGAAAAGACTTACAGCCTCGGAAACCCTGTACAGGGTCGCTATGAGTCAGAACTGACTCTATGACACATAACAACAACAACAATAATCACCATTAAGATCACCATCATTAGGTCTTTACAGTGACTTAAAATGCAAGTGGAAGAAATATTCGAAGTTCAGAGGTGTCTTATTAAGTGTTTCAAAATTGAATTCGTTAAAATGAACATTGTTTGAAGTAGAGTCAAAAGCATTTTTTAAGTGAACATGAGCATAATGGTTTGCAATTATGAGATGCATTTTGTGCTTGCGCAGAAAAGTTCCATGTTGCAGTAGTACTTGAGATCAAATCCTCTAGACTGAGAGATCAGGGGTCAGGCTTGCTTTTTACAGGTTCCACCTGGTAACAGTTGTCCTCAAATTTAACCCAGCCCTGAGCCTTTGTTGTTTAAGACTTCTCATTGTTCTGAAATGTATGTTTGCTTACTTTAAATTCATACTCTGCGGTGTTTCCCTTGGGGTTAGTGAAGCTCCTCTGATACTTTTTTTTTTTTTTTTCCTTACTACAGTAAATAATTCTCCTTACATCATTGTCTTTCACCATCTTTCCTGAACATTATGTTGACATTTCCCCCCCACACACACACAATTATTCAGTGACAGTTCATATTTGAGTAAGAGTCCTGGAGGTTTTGTTCTGGCCTTGATTTTACCCTCCACTCTGGGTCACTTTTAGGATCTTTGTCTCCTCATCTGTAAAATAAGATCATCTCCAGAATTCCTTTCTGCTTGAAGTTTTACCAAATCAATGAAGCACTCCCCGTTCTGATGATACCCTGTTCATTTGCTCTATTGCTTTGCTTGATTACGTCTGTTTTTTCTTTCCTTTTTTTTTTTTTTAATAAGGTCACAGGTGTGTTCTCTGTCTCCCAATGCTTTTAAAAGTTTTGCTTCTTTCAGTCACAAAGACATTTTGAAAGTATCCACTGTAGATGGCATCTCTCCCTTAGTTCAGAACATGGGAAATAATTGAGGAAATACTGATAATCGTCTAAACTCTGGCCTGCCTGATGATCAGACTGTACTGTGAGCAACCTCACGAGTCGCAGAAATGCTGCAAGGTGTCCTGAGGAGAGACTGATGCTGTTTTGTTTTGCTCAAGTAGGTTGAGCAGAATCCTAGGAAAACAAGCGTGGTGTCAGATTCTGAAAAAGAGCAAGGTGGTAACAGAAGGGTATTTGCTTTTCTGAGTTAGGTGTTTAATTGCTCACACCCGGAGTTGAGTATTTAGTAGGCCCCTTGCTTTCTCTGCTTTTGCTCAGTTCACAGTCTGTAGCTTGCATACATTTCCTTAGGCAGTTTTGAAGTATACCATGTGGCCTTTGTGTGTAGTTATTAATGAAGTGTTAACAGAAATGAAAGCAAAAGACACGCTTGTTCCTTTAACGGCTTGCGTGTATGGTGTTCTTCCAAAATATTTTGTTCTACATGTGTGTTGTCCTGCATTTCCAGAACACAATATTTTTGGAATGAAAGTGCTTTGGAACTTCTGGAGTCTGTGTGGTGTTTCTGTATATTAATTGTTAGTTCTCCCTCAAATCAAAATGGCTTAGCTGATTTTCAGGGTGGTGTAACCTAAGTGGCGGTGCCAGGAAGCACAGTTCACATACGAGCAGTCAAGAATTGTCTGGGTTTGTTTGGGTTCAGGTAAGAAGAGTTCCAGGGTCAAGCGGTCACCTTCATAAAACCGAAGACGGTGACTGGGAATGGAGTGACGATGAGATGGATGAAAAGAGTGAAGAAGGGAAAGCAGCTTTTTCTCAAGAAAAGGTAAAAAACCTTGATGGTGATGACAGTAGCCTTACCTGTGTTATCTATGTATGTATGTGTGTGAGATATATACTTATGGCTCCATATTTGTTTTACAGTCACGAAGAGTAAAGGAAGAAAATCCCGAGGTGAGTGGTTATTGGACTTTTTCCCCATGCCACTTCATTTTCCCCTGGTGGAGTCAGGGTCTGATACACTGAAAGAAAAGATTTCAAAGTTTTGTTTTCATGGAGCAGATGATAAGAAGATCACCTAGACTTCACAGGTTCTGATTCTGTCTGAGTACCTTTGGGGCTGTGTAATTGAAGCAAATTACATTTCTTTCTGGGCCTCAGTTTTCTCCATTAGTTGGGGATGGTAACAGTACAGTACTTATTAAGTTGCTTGTTGTTAAGTTCTGTCAAGTCGGTTCTGACACATAGCAACCCTGTATAGCGTTCCTGAGGAGCGGCTGGTGAGTTTGAACCGCTGACCTTTTGATTCAAACCGACCTTGCAGTCCAGCGCATTAACCCACAGCACCACACCAGGATTCCATATAAAGTTGCATGAGAATTGATGAGATCACATACATACAGCACTCAGTGGGCACAAACTAGGTGCTCACTTCATCTTTGTATTACCCAGTATTACTGTCACTTTGAAAACATTATAGGCACACTGCAAACATTTCTTGGAGATATTTAGTTTGCAATAATGCAGACATTTAAAGTTTTTAGAAACTCTAGGTTGGACCTGTTGATGTTCATTTGTAAATCTGGGTGATGGATATGTGGGCAACAGCACTCTTTTATCCCTTCCTCTTTGAGAACTGGTCATCTTTTGATTAACTTTATTTCCTTCATCTCCGTTAACTTTATTTCCTTCATCTCCATAATTATTTAGTGCATAGTGACTAATGATGACCATGTTTCAAAAAGATTTGCTAATTTTCTTAGAGGAACTTTGAGCATATTTAAATAGCTCCAAATATTTAACAGACCTGGCAATTAATGTGTACCTTGATAAATTCTCATTAAGAAAACAGAACACTTTGGGTTGCAAATGATATCCTTCCCAACTTTCTTTAATTAGCAGATATTTCTCTTTGATTAAATGGAGGAAATCTGATCATTTGACTTTAAGTGGCAATCACCAACTGGACTTTTTGAAGAGAAGGGGAATCAGAGCTACAAACTGCTCATTCCCTTACTCTTTTCTCCCACCTTTTTCTCTTCATTTTTTTTTTTTTTTAATGCTATATTAGTAGGCCTTTCCTAGAGACTTTTTAATCTGTCTGCCTCCCTGTTGTAACTCTCCTTTAGATGCTCTTAAGTTTATCATACAAGTTAATGTTTCTACTTCATAAAATACAAGCTTTGGTCAAGGATGTTGTTCACCTTGATGAGGAAAGATGGTGATGAGCTCCTCAGTGGGACGCTTGGTCTCCACAGATATAGTGCTGCACTTCTGAGATGATCTGAACCAGGTGTCACGAACTCTGCCTTCTCCTTGCCATCTGCTCATTTCATCTAGGCTAAAATATAGAGTCAATGATTTTTCATAAATGGATTTCTAGAGCATCTTTGAAAATGTAAGTTCTTCTTAGTACAAAATAATGTGGTTCAGGGCACATCGTTGGTTCAAAAAGCTCTGCTCCTTGGTTCACTGTTGGAGACCTCTGCTGGGTGATTGTCACTGAACTCCACCATACTACTGAAGAGTAAGGAGTTACAGGTCTTCTCTCAGGAGGATTTGCAAAGTATGTTATTACACTTCTTCCATTTGTGCGAAATTGTTCTGGTAACAATTGCCATTTAGATAACAGCAGTAACTTTTTGACAAGAATGTCTTCGGTATATACAAGAAAGAGTAATGTGTGGAGTAATGTCTTTTGGATCGTCACCGGTTATCACTATCAACTTTCTTGAGTGGAATTTGAAAGTCTTTTTAGTACTTCACTAAATCTAGAGACTTGGTTTCCCGGTAGCATCTTATCTTTTCCCATAATGATTTCTAATTAAGAAAGCATATAGATAGGTTCTTAATTTCTGTTTGAATGTAGACACTCCCACCAAATTCGAGGAGTAACCAGACTCACCTATTGCACAGTTTCTCACTACAGTTTTCTGACAACCTTACCTCTTGGCGGGGCTGGAAGTTAGTCCTCTCAGCCATGTTAGAGACAGCGCAATGAGAAATGATAGTGTGTTTCCTGTGTTCTTTTAGATTTTAATCTAAAATAGCTCCCTTATTTTTCAACCACTCCTCCTTTGTCAGGGAAATATAAAGTATTATAAAGGTAATGATAAAAATGTAGAATGCGTAACTGTTCATCAGAGATACTTGTGTATTGTTGTTGTTGTTAAGTTCTGTTGAGTTGGTTGTGACTCAGCTACCTTGTATAGGGTTCCCGAGGAGCGGCTGGTGAGCTTGAACCACCGACCTTGACGTTCAAACCAACCTTGAGGTCCAGTGCATTAACTTGCAGTGGCATACCAGAACTCATATATTACCCACCTGTTTTATATGTTTCGGGATGCATCAGTGAGCAAAATTAGGAAAAACTTCTGTTCTTGTGTAATCTAATTCTAATGAGATGAGAGAAACCGTATACAATAGTCTTAACAGATGGATAAGCTATGTGGCTTGTTTCATTTGGCTAGGAGAAATGGAAACAAACAAACAAAAAAATAGAATGGGTTAAGGAGCATGGATATAGTAAGGGGTTATGATTATAAATATGTTGATCAAAGTAGGTCTCATTGAGAATGAGAATATAATAAAGGCTTAGTCAGAAGTACAGGAGAATTAAATACAATAACATAAAAGGCACATGGACCTCACCAGATGGAATACACAGGCATCAAATTGACTGCATCTATGTGAAGAAAAGATGGAGATGCTCAGTGTCATCAGCCAAAATAAGGTGAGAGGCATCTGTGTAGTAGACCATCAATTGCTCATACGCAAGTTCAGGCTGAAGCTGAAGAAAATGAAAACAAGTCCATGATATCCAAAATATGACCTTGAATATATCCCACATGAATCTAGAGACCATTCATGGTCACATTTGACATTAATGACTGAAGATCATTAGACATTAATGACTGAAGATCAGAGAGTTGTGGATGACATCAAGAACATCATCTATGAAGACAACAAAGGGTCATTAAAAAGATGGGAAAGAGAGAAAAGGCCAAAATGGATGTCAAAAAGACTGAAATGAGACTTGCCTTTTGAGTGTGGAGAGGTTAAAGCAGCTTGAAGAAATGAGAAAGTAAAAGAGCTGAACAGAACATTTCAAAGGGCAGCTCGAGACAACATTCAAGTTGGTGGTGGTGGTGGTAAGTATTGGTAAGTTAGTTCGAACTCATAGCAAGTCTGTATAGGGTTTCCGAGGAGTGGCTGGTTCAAACTGACCTTGCAATCTGGTGCTTATCCTACAGCGTCACACCAGATCTCCACAAAGTCAAGTATTATAATGAAATGTGCAAAGACCTGGAGTTAGAAAACTCAAAGGGAAGAACATAATCAGCACTTCTTAAGCTGAGGGAACTGAAGGAAAATTCAAGCCTTATAATATTGAAGGATTCTCTGGGCAAAATCTTGAATGATGAAGAAAGCATCAAAAGAATATGGAAGGAATACACAAGAGTCACTGTACCAAAAAGAAAGGTCGATGTGCAACCATTTCAAAAGGAATCATGTGATCAAGAACTGATGGTACTGAAGGAAGAAGTCCAAGCTGCACTGACGGCATTGGTGAAAAACAAGGCTGCAGGAATTGACAGAATGCACATTCAAATCTTTCAAGAAACTGATGTCCCACTGGAGTTGCTCATTCATCTATGCCAAGAAATTTGGAAGATAGCTTTCTGGCCAGCTGATTGGAAGATAACCCTAATTGTACCCATTCCAAAGAAAAAGTGACTCAGTGTAATGAGGAAATCATTGAACAATATCATTAATAACACATGCAAGTAAAATTTTGCTGAAGATCATTCAAAAACTGTTGCAAAAGGACATCGATAGGGAGCTACCAGAAATTCAAGCCATATTCAGAAGGGGAAGTGGAACTAGGCATAAACTAGGCATATCACTGCTGATGTCAGATGGACCTTGGCTAAAAGCAGAGAATATCAGAAAGATGTTTACTTGTGCTTTATTGGCTATGCAAAGGCTTTCAACTATGTGTATCATGACATTGTGAAGATACATATTCCAGAACACTTCATTGTGCTCCTGAGGAACTTGTACATTGACCAAGGGGCACTCATTATAACAGAACAAAGGATACTAAATGGTTTAAAATAAGGAGAGGTGTGCACTAGGGTTGTATCTTTTTACCATACTTATTCAATCTGTATGCTGAGCAAATAATTGGAGAAGCTGGATTACATGCAGAAGAACACAGCATCAAAATTGGAGGAAGACTCATTAACAGCCTGCGTTATGTAGATGATTACAAGTACCTTGCTTGCTGGTAGTGAAAAGGGCTTAAAATATTGGCTGAAGAAGATCAAAGACCACAGCCTTCAGTATGGACTGTACCTCAATATAAAGAAAACAAAAGCCCTCACAGCTGGACCAATAAATAACATCATGATAAATGGAAAAATGATTGAAGTTGTCAAAGATTTCATTTTATTTGGATCCATAAATAAACACTTAATGGAAGCAGCAGTTTAGATTAAACAGACTGCATTAGGCAGATCTGCTACAAAAGACCTCTTTAAAGTGTTAAAAAGAAAAGATAACAACATGAGGACTAAGGTGCATGTGACCCAAGTCGTGGTATTTTCATTCGCCTCATATGATGGTGAAAGTTGAACAATGAATAAGGAAGACTGTAGAATAATTGATACATTTAAATTGTGGTGTTTGAGAAAAATATTAAAAGTCCCTTGAACTGCCAGAAGAACAAACAAATCTTGTGTTGGAAGAAGTACAATCAGAATGCTCCCTACAAGCTAAAATAGCAAGACTTTGTCTCTCATAATTTGGCCTGTTATTACCAGTGTCCAGTCCTTGTAAGGAGCTCTGGTAGTATGCTGGTTACAAATCGGGCTACGAACCTCAGGGTCAACAGTTCGAAACTACTAGCTGTTCCGTGGAAGAAAGATGAGGCTTTCTGCTCCTGTAAAGAT